CATCGATTTGCAAGATGGTCTGAATTTAATATCATTACTCGAAGTGTTGTCTGGAGATCAATTGGTAAGCAATAAATAATAGTAAATTTATGTACAAAATGTATATTCAAAATTATGTATGAAGGAAGATATTTTTTTTTAGAAAAAGAAAATATTTTTTCATGCATTATTAGACAGTATTTTATAAAAATTACTTTCAAGGTTTCTGGGGTGTGCCTCGATAGAATTTGTAACGTGTCAGATGATCATTAGGCCATAATAATCGATGTTTTGAGTAAACGAAAACTTTTGATTGTGGCTCAACACGATAGTTTTTGTGGGCGGTTTCGTCAATTCTGTCGCTTTTAATTGTTATCTTTTGTGTTGATAATTTAAGGGGTAGGCTAGTACTATTATATAGCAGAGTTATAAAAACCTAATTGAAGGAAAATACTATTACATCCAAGAAAGGTGTTCCCGGCAAACCGGACAATGATAATTACGGCTAGCAGCTACTAAGAACTTGATATTCCGTATAAAGTGATGCGCCAAGGCCTGAAATACATCCTTGTCTTTGTTTCGCTGGGTAAAATTGTGTAATACAATTTGTAAAAAAAGTCCATTAAATTGTGCCTATTATTGTTGAGTTTCAATGAATATATTGTATTTTTCATCTTTTCGTAAACATTGTACATTGTATATTTGATAGATCGACAAGGACAAGTTACTTAGTAGTTACTTTAAATGTTTGCTATAATTGTTTCCGAATTAATTTCCAGCCAAGAGAAAGAGGCAAACTGAGATTTCATATGCTACAAAATGTCCAAATGGCACTGGAATACTTGCGTTTCAAAAAAGTAAATAATTCTGCTTTTATAATTAATATTCCAAAGTTATAAACATTTATGTATGTTCTTAGATCAAACTTGTAAACATTCGAGCCGAAGATATTGTAGATGGCAATCCAAAACTCACGCTGGGTCTCATATGGACCATTATACTTCATTTCCAGGTTAGTATCGTTAACTTTTATTAATGGATATGGATTTTTATGTTCGAAATGGGTGGAACGTCATATTATCACAAAAATAAATTGTTACACAACGCTGGTCATGTGTGATAGAACAAAACACAGAGCGCACCTGAAAACCATCTGTGGTTGATTATGGCCTACACAATCAGTATATTGCTAGTTTTACATTTTTGACACTTAAAATATGTACACATAATTCAAAATTGTGTTGTATAAATGTGTAATTATTAGCTAGAATGCATTTTAAAAACAGGATAAATTATGTACTTATAATTTTTTTTATTTCTTATTCGTTTATAAATTTAATTTTTGTTTTGTTTAAAACGTTCAAATACCAGCTTTCAAAAAATACCTTATAATTTAGTCGAATATAGAAGTTTTAGCACATATTATATTCATCTGATGTTCATAATATATTGTATCATACTGGTGGAACTAGCTAACCTCCGAATAGCGAATCAATAGACTCGTCTTATTTGAAAACGTAATATCCTAATCGAATTTTGTGTCATAATGTATTAAAAACATAGATAATATATAATGGATAGGACATCCCTATACTAAATACCCATGGGGCAGCGTTCCCGAAGTTTCGGTATGTGCCCCATCTATACCATTGTTACCAGTAGTAACCAACAGGTAACCATTTTAATTTTATCACTATCTACTAATAATTGTTATCAAACAAATAATAAYGTTRAACATTAAATTTGTCGTTTACTGTTTGACTTTAAAATACAATTTTGAATAATTTAAAATTCAACAGAAWTGCAGTTTTATGTTTAAAGTAATCTTCATTAGCTGGTATTAATTTATTTTATATATTTTATTGACTATTGTTACMACCGTAGATTACGACCAAATCACTTATCACCTAAATACAAATATAATTAATTATTATAAGTAATTTTGGAGTCCATGGAGTATGGACTTATCGTTATTAGTTTCCATTTACCAATTATAAAATCACTTACTGGCTAAAATAAACTAAAATAATTATTTTGTTTTAAATTTAAATAAAAAAGAAAAAAAGATTTGTTCATGGGATAAAAAATTTATTACCTCGTAGCTTATCATTCGGGAACGCACGGAGAAGGCTGATGGCCTATCCATTATATATTATCTATGATTAAAAATGACTAAAGCTTTTTTTAAGTATGCTAATATATAATATATGTAGTTATATTTTTCCTGTTCAAAAATCAGGAACGGGTGGGAACTGTTTATAACAACATTACCAGCAACATATTATATATTTTTAAAGTTAGTGCTATTAGAAAAAGATTTTAAATTAGGAGTTGGATAGGCAACTATAAAAACATCTAAGTAATAGCGGTTACACCGAACGCTCCTTTTTAATTAATGAGAATGTTTTTATCTATTAGCGATAGAAAGTGATAAGCTGTAACGGGTCCGTTGTGTATCATTTATATGTTATTTTTCCAGAGCCCCGTTACACATCCATATCCTCCGTCGTCCTAAAAATTGATAAGCTTTCTATTGCCAATTATGATAATCATAGTTGAATGTTAAACAGCGAACATGTTAATTAATTCCTTACGCCTTTTTTTTTATAAAACCTGGTTATTTGTTTTATATATTTATTATTTTTTTTTTTATATGTTTTGTGTAATATTTATTATTATCAGTTCGTTTTTTTTCTCTATTTTTTAGTTTCTTATTGTAAAAACATTCCTTCGTTTGAAAGTATGTATTTTTAATTAATAATTGCGCTGCATAATCATAATTTATTAAATATTAATTATTATGTTCAGTTCGAAATTTTAGAAATATAAAAATTCTGAACATTTTTTATTCAGATAATTTGTCTATCATCGTCGTTTAATATAAATGACTACTGAATGTTATATAACAAATACATTTTAATAATTATTTAAATTTATTGTTTTATCCATAACTGCTGATGTCTTTATGAGAGATAGCGAATGAGATTTTTTTTAGTTTACTAGTTAAAATTACACCCAATACTTAAAAGCATTTTTTTTATAAAATCTTTTGAAACGCGTCAAATTAATACATCATTATAGTCAATGTAATAAGTTCTGTATCAGTATTTACGGCATCGCGCGTTCTAAATATCCGAGACAATGAGAATGAGAGTATCAATTCTAACAGAGGAACGGTACAATTTTTGTTTTGCTAAACATATCACGAATAGAGGCGTCACTCGTAATAACGTACGTCACGAAATCACAATTATGATTTATGCGAAGTACTGTGGTCGTCTTGTATTATAATGATGGCGGTGCGTGTCATCGCGTTACTGTCACCCTGGCACAGTGTATACTTTAATGTACCTTCTTACCTGCGATATTGACGTATCGTAGTAATTTGCCGGAAACATATTTTTAATCCGTTTAATTGGTAGGTAGGTAGGTATTGCGCACACAATCCGGCAAAAAGCACTAGGACGTGGCGATTGTGAAAATCTATTTTTGCCRCGTGTATGTATCCGGTCTTAACCCTGATTTCTCGCCTCCGTCCGCAACATCGTTGCGAGTATATCCATAATGGTGGTATGCTGTGCACAGCGGTGCGGTGTTTATGTAATCCGCGGCCTCCTCCAGCGTTCGTCGGGCGGGTGACTCCTACGCTGTGGTTGGTCCAAGGTCCCCGGTGACCCAAGGATCTGAACGCACCTGGCCAAGCGCTCTTTATATGGATATGTGGTGCACGCAGTATACGCGGCGATGCGATTTTTGGCCAGGTCGAACGTGGGCTCAACGTCCGTGGGCGCCATGGCGTTGTTATCGTAACACATTACGTTACCTGCAATAATATCATAACATTCCGGTAGACCATCTGCGACGGCTGCTGGTGCTTTTCGAGGGGGCCTACATCATTCGATCGACGAGTCCTGCAGCCTGGTCAATCGCGTTGGGCAATCGTTGTTTTTTTCAATGAAACCACTGCGTATCTAATCCGCGGAAGAAAATCTCGCGTATGCGTACCTATGGCGTCTCGCAATATTATTCAATGGACCTCCCTCCCACAAGTGGTGGGTGCGGTGGCGGTGTGTGTGCGTGGTTATAACCTTGAAGTGTGCTTTTTATCATTATTATTGCGGGCAGGTACCATACGCAGTCGCTGTTTTTCCCCTCTACACATACATCACAGCCGCGACAACACTCCGTATAGTTTACCTGTGTACCTGTGCGCGCGCGCTCCTCCTCATCCTCCTACTCATTCACGTATTGCCTTCTGCTGCAACACCGGCCCGGCCCCCGATGGCTTAACACGGTTCAGTTATCTCTTGTGCACCGGCCGTGTCGCGCGTGCAGTTAGTCGTCGTCGTTGTTGTTCATCGTTGCTCAGTAACGGTTCTGCTGCTGCTCTCATCCAGGACTTGTCCTATGCAAACGATATTTACGTACATACATCATCGCACTACATTCACCCAACGCAATCAACAGACATCGTTTTAAACGGTTTTCGGATACATCTCGTGTTCCGCTATGTGAGCGGAGAACGATTGACGCTGGCTCTCATATAAAATCGAGATCGACAGGGATCGAAACGCTGACGGTACATCATGTACCGGTTCACCAAAGCCTCCAAGGAGGTGTCGTCGTCATCTTCGGGAGCGGGCGGTCGGCCAGGTGGTAGCCGGCTGTTCATGCAGGGCACCCGTGAGAGTGACGACGATGTGCGCGACCTGCAAGCCGTGTACACGAAACGGCACCTATCCACCGAGGTGACTGGGTCTAATCACGAGTCACAAAAGGTGGACAAGCGCCCGGAAGTTGGTAGACACTCGGTCACCACTCGCGTCCTACGTAAAACCACTGTATTAACGCGCGGCGTTGAGGTGTCGGCTACCGAAAGCATGATGAAAACCGGCCAGATGATGGTTTCCGACCAGCCGTACGAAGAGTCCAAGAGGACCTCGTCCAAACATCACCATCAGGTCATCAAGACGAAGAAAGCCAAGGTAGTCTCGTGAATCGTGCATACATGTATACATCTATGTGTTTTATTATAATATATTCTCCAACTTATACCGTCGTGATTGGTTGTATTCGGATCGACATTTCCTACAAATTAAGATAGCTCGCAAAATTGCAACGATTGAATAGGTCTCGGCCATTTAGCGGGAAATCTACCCGAATGGCTTTTACGTGTGCAGTCGAAAATAATTCTATAATTATTTCGAGTGTCTTTCGTTTACTAGTTATACTCGCGTACAACTTGACATTTTTTTTTTATCTTTAAGTGTTTGCCGAATCGTGGTATCTGTATATCTGTATAGGACACGTGTTTTGTGTTTTGTTTCATTGAATAATAGTTTTTTTCTTTTACCACTTTCTTATGTGCATGTAGATAAGCCCGATCCGTTTTCAAATGAAAGTGGTTTACAAATTATAGATACATACCATATAATCACACAATGCAATATATATGTACTGTGTTCGACACATTTTGTATATAGTAGTAAAGTACCTACTTAACCACATACACGCACTGCTTACGCACCATAATGTATACATATTATGTCATATACGAWGTGCGTTGATGTACGCAACTATATTATATTATATTGAAAGAGGAGTAAATCCTAATTCAGTTATTACTCATAGTGAAACCTCTATTTATATGGATACATCCTATGTAATACTTATTTTTAAATATTTCATTGGAAGATTTCATGTATTTGAGATTTTAGATTTTTAGATTCCATGTACTTATACATCATATCCTACTGATAATAACAAACACACCTGTATAGATTGGTCCAATTTATGTTTTATACCACAGTGGTCATTTATAGAGTTTTCGTGTGTAAAATGTGTTGTATTCTTTAATCTACATTTAAAGTTTAACGTTTAAACTAGACATTTTAAAAGCCATTCAAATCATGGTTGACATTGAATTTTTTCGTCATATTATGTTTATCAGTTTGATTCCACCCATGTTTATTCATACATTATTTGTTTAATGATTTTCTTTTTAAAGTTGATAGTCTTACAAGTATATAAATTGTATTATTTCTATAAAGTTTATTATGACATATTTTCTTTTAATCAACGATGTATTTGTTTACCAAAAAGATAACCACCGCTTTTAATAAACTGACATATATATATATACATTTTATGTGTTTGATTAGTAATAGACGGCGAGAGTCCATAAAATTTAGAACTTGTGTATTTTTATTTATTGTATGCTATCGTTCATCATAGGGCATTGTGTTGTTGTGTTGTTGTTATATAATCGGAAACGACATACCTAGATGAGTGTTTAGCGTATTGAGATTCATTTTATGTTAATGTTTTAAAATTCGATATTAATAAAGTTAAATTTGCTGATTTGGGTACTTGGATGTAAATGTTCTCGCTCAAATGCAGACTGTTCAAGTGCACGTACCGGAAACATGAATAAGGTGAACGAACTACGTTTTTCGAAGTGAATGCGAATGGAGCGATTGTTAATGAAGAAGTGCTCTTAAACATAACAATAAAAGCTTTACCATGCTTGTTATTTGTCGGGATTGTAAAAATTTGCATCAAAAACCGAACGAGCTAAATATCACCAAAGCGCCTACATACAATATTTTGCGTTATTATTTACATTTTTTTTTCTTGTACTGTGGTGTATTATAGGTAATGTATACAGTTATGTACTATACATCACCTAACTAAAACCTAGTTAACATGTATATTGACATAGATAATACCTAAATACGTTTTGTCTATGTTTTACTCTGTACCCGCTACCATAATAGTGAAGAATAATATGACTATATGATCAGGGGACGCATGGATGGTTTCTTTTGCATGCTGCACATTTCCTTCAAGCACGCGTAATGATGATGACCTGATTTTTGATTTTTTTCTTCGCGCACACACACTCACACACACACACGCACACCCATAATTCACCTCTCTCTCTGGCTCTCTGTTTTGGACCGAAGTCTCGACTTTGAATCGTCTTCATGAGTAAAAATATGTTTTACTTATTGTTCGTTTGCTCAAATGATAATTTCAATCGAAGAATAAAATCAAACATAATTTGTCCTACTAATAAATAACATGGGCGAGAATGTGTTGTGAACGGCCTCTAGAGCGGATCTACTGCCCATTTAAGGAGAAGACTGGTGGCTTGCCCGAATCGTAAAAAACACGTATACCGAATTGTATTTTGTTTTCGTCGGCAGGCGTGCGCATTGTTGACCCTAATAATAATTGTCTTATTTTTATTATTATTCTGTGTAAAAAAACATATTGCTATATGTTCAAATATGTATATGACACTAGTGTAATATGGGTAATTCGAACCGCCTCCGGTGGGACAAGAAACCTTATGTGGACATTTAATACGCGCGTCGACTTGTAATGACGTGGTTTCTGATATTTTGATTATTATTTTTTTTACGCTTATACCATTATTGTTATTATTATTAATTTTAGATATCTGACATTGTCGTCGGTGAAGAACCGAACGTATCGGCGCGTGATGCATTATTGAAATGGGCTCGCAAATCAACATCGAAATACCCAGGTGTTCGAGTGTCGGACTTCACGTCTTCTTGGCGGGATGGTATGGCATTCAACGCGATTATACACAGAAATAGGTAATAATATATCTATTTTTTTTTGTTAAAAATGTTAATATAAAATCAATATTAATTGTAATCTTTCCTCAGGCCGGATTTAGTCGATTGGCGCAATATCAAAAGTAAAAATGTTCGTGAGCGATTAGAGTCTGCATTTTACATCGCAGAACGAGAATATGGAGTTACCAGATTATTGGATCCCGAAGGTAAGTGTCCACTACAGCATAATATTTTCAAACACTAAGAAAATTGATTGTTAATGTATTTTTTTTTACAGACGTTGATACCCACGAAATTGATGAAAAATCAATTATTACGTATATATCATCGTTACATGAAGTGTTTCCAGAACCCCCACGTATACATCCTCTTTATGATTCTGTAAGTAAAAATTAAATAGTTCTATCTTAAAAATACTTTATTATTTTCATTGTTTTTTTTATTTTTGTAGGAATCTCAACAGCGTTCTGGGGAATATCGTGAAATTGCCTCATCATTAAATCGTTGGATGCGTGAAAAGTTATCTGTAATGTCCGATCGTAATTTCCCATCAACACTTATTGAAATGAAAAAATTAGCATCCGATTCTACCAAATTTCGTAATGAAGAACTTCCACCTCGTCATCGTGAAAAACAACATCTGGTCCATTTATATAAAGAACTTCAAGTAATAAAACATATTTGACATGTGTTTTATTGGTAGAAACATTCATATATATATTATTATTTTTTTCATAGAAATATTTTGAGGCTGTTGGTGAAAATGATATTGAGCCCGAATTACAAGCTGATGCTATTGACCGTACTTGGAATCGTTTGATGATGTCATACCAAGATCGAGATTCTGCTATTCAGGAAGAAATAAAACGGCTTGAACGCTTACAAAGATTAGCGGAAAAAGTTCACCGTGAAACCAAGCGCACCGACTTGAAGTTAGATGAGTTAGAAACTAGAATTGTGGAAGAAGGTCGCCGGGCAGATAGACTTCACCCATTGGATGCGAAACACAATGCTGATCAACTGGAGACTGAGTTACGTCTATCTGAAGATACTATTCAGTCGCTGTTTGTTGATGTACAAGCACTCAGAGAAGGACGATATGTGCAAGCACCTGAGTTACAAAAGAGGTTAGTATTATAAATCATATTTTATTCATCACATTGTTATATTTTATTTGTTTATTTAGAGTGGAAAAACTACATCAAAGATGGGTAAATTTGCGATCTTTGTTGCATTCAAAAGTTCTTACTCCTTTGGCTACTCTATCATTTCCAATTGTTGAAGAGCGTACGGTTACCAAACAAACACGTACCATTCTGGAAACCCGACTTGTTGATACCAATACTCATTTCCGTTCATTGCAAGAATGCATTGATTGGTGCAATAACAAATTGGTAGGATGCATTTTAAAATAGCTTATTATATTTGTTTGCTAATATTTTGTGGTTTTTATGTGTTTGTAGAAACAATTACAGGAAGCTGAATATGGTTCAGACTTACCTAGTGTCCAAGGGCTTTTGGACCAACACCAGCGTGAACATAAAATAATCGACCAATTCCATACTAAAGTTGAGCATTGCATAAACGATAAGAGTAATTTCCACGGTGATGAGCTATCCCTGTATTCACAACACTTGAATACATTGCAGAAGGTTTATGCTGAATTAGTTACTTTCTCTAATAAACGGTTATCTGACTTAGAAACACTGCAAGACTTCTTACAATCAGCAACAAATCAGCTTATTTGGCTCAATGAGAAAGAAGAAATTGAATTAAATCGCGATTGGAGTGATAAAGATTTAAACATACCATCAATTCGACAATACTATGAGGTATTATTTAGTATTAATTATAAATTATGATGTATAATAAGCTTAATTTTTATTTAAATTATTATTTAAAATTTTTTTATAAAATTTGAACTAATTTTTAAGCATACATTTGGATCAGGGATTGAGGTTGTGTTTTAATTAATTTTATACTCTTTATTATCTTATGTTCTATATAAATGTTTATTGTTTATTTTTCTAGTCATTAATGTCAGAGCTTGAGAAAAGAGAGATTCAATTAAGTTCGGTTCAAGATCGCGGAGAAGCGTTAATTCTTCAGGGTCACCTTGCATCAAAGTGTATTGAAGCTTATATATCTGCATTGCAAACACAATGGACTTGGTTACTCCAGCTGACTCTTTGTTTAGAAACTCACTTAAAGCATGCCACATACTATCATCAATTTTATGCTGATGTCAAAGAAGCTGAACATTGGTTAAACAAACGAGACGAGTTACTAAATTCTGTTTTTAGCCAATCGGAATTTAGTTTAGATGATGGAGAACGTTTATTGAAAGGTATGCAAGACCTCCGAGAAGAATTAAATAACTTCAGTGAAGTGATCGGTACACTAGAAGATCGATCAAGGCAAGTAGTTCCACTGAAACAACGTAGACTTCCAATTACTAGACCTATACCAGTGAATGCAATTTGTAGCTTCAAACAAAATGGGGTATATTAAAACAAATTATGATATGGTGAAGCAATTAATGTTTATCATAATTTTTTTTTTAGATTAATGTTGAAAAAGGTTCTCAATGGTTGCTCCATGATAATTCGGGACGAATCAAATGGAGAGTGTCTAGAGGAATGAATCTAACTGATGATTCAAATGTTCCTGGTGTTGTATTTTTAATACCTCCTCCAGATCAAGAAGCTTTAGATTCTGTAGATCGATTGCGTAGAGCATATGATCGTACAACAGCATTATGGCAACGCAAACAGTTGCGTATGCGTCAAAATATGATATTTGCTACAATCAAAGTTGTCAAGGGATGGGATTTAGCTCAAGTAATAAACATGTAGTTTATTTTTATTTTCAAAATTTATTTAACTTTTTTTTTTGCTCATAGTTTTTAGCCATGGGCACTGATCAACGTAATGCTATTCGTAAAGCATTAAATGATGATGCTAATAAGTTATTGAGAGAAGGTGATCCAGCTGACCCTCAATTAAGAAGACTCAAGAGAGAAATGGATGAAGTTAACAGACTATTTGATGAATTTGAACGGCGATCACAAGCTGAAGAAGACAGTAAAAACCTTACACGAATGTTTACTGATCAAGTTAAATCTATTCAAATTTCATTGGATGAATATGAACACACATTAAATACCAGGTTGAGTGCTCCTATACCAAGAGATATGGATACTTTGGAACATTTAGTTATTCAACACAAAGATTTTGAAACTTCACTGAAGGTATTTAATTGATTATCTGTTGGATTATGTAATAGAATAATAATCATCATTTCATTTCATTTAATTTGTACTACAGAACTTGGGCCCTGATGTAGAAGCCATGCAAGCTACATTCAAAAACATACCAAATAAAACACCAGCTTTACAAACTAAACATGATAAGGTTTTGAACCAATGGAACCAGTTATGGAATCTTTCTCAGCTTTATGTTGAAAGACTTAAGTGTGCAGAAATTACTTTGTCTGGATTAGATGATGCAAACAATGTTATATCAGATTTTGAAATAAAATTAGCATCTTACGGTGAAATGCCATCTGAATTGCCGGCTTTAAAATTAGTAAGTTAATTCCATTGATATTCAATTTTAAGTTCATAGTGTTTTATTTATGTGTTTAATTGCATAAAGGTACATCAAGATCTGATAGCATTGCAAAAAAATGTTGTCCTTCAACAGCCAGTCATTGATCAGTTGGTTGAAGATAAACATAATACCAGGCGTTTAACAGAAAAATCCAGACACCACTTACCACGGACTGCTCACCACGATTTGGATAGACTCGACAGTGATGTAAATCGTATAACAAGTAGATGGAATAATGTTTGTAGTCAATTAGTCGACAGGTAAATAATATTTTATTAAAATAATTAAATCAACTTAATACTAATTTATACAATAAGGGAAGAAATTATTCACCATCTATAGCTAATGTAAATTACCATTTATTTATATCAAATACTTTTTGTTCACTTTAATATATTGTAATATTATATGTACAATTTTCTTCCTATAGACTAAAGAGCTGTGAAGCAGCTTACGATCTTTTGAATAAATACAAAAATTCGTACCAGTCTGAAGTTAAAATCATCGATGAGAACTATGTTAAATTGAATAATGTCGCACCTCTTAAAATGCAAGCAAGAGATCTTACAGAAACTACTAAGGTAAGTGTATATAATGATTTAAAGCTGCCTTAAATAATTAAATACTTTTTGTTGTGGTGAGTCATGTACTTTATATTACTTAAACTCAACATTTGGATTGCATGTTAAATAAACAATAAGAAATAATTTAATATATTGTCTAATGTTAAATATTAATATAACATATTAAGTGTATACTGTATTAAATTATCCAAGTAAAGCCTCATGGCCAATCAAAGGTCTTTTATTTATTGATCACATACATCTCGTAGGCTTTGTATAACAAGGTGCAGGAACGTACTAAAGCAATTGAGAGCGTCAATGTGGATGGTGGAAGATTTATACGAGAAGCTAAGGTAACAACGCTTTTTAACATAAAAAAAAAAATCGAAATTTGCTGTGATAACCATTTAACAGACCATAACAAAGACTATGCGTATAATTAACCCGCAAATAGATATATGACCTACGACTTCAACATTACTGTGCGTGGCTGGTAGATGAAGTGCATCCAAGCCTTGATGCTAGCAACCATAATAAAGGCCAAAATATGGATCCCAGTGTTGGTGAATTGGCTGTGTCTCATGAACTTGACGTGCTCAACCATAGATTTCAAGCATTGCTTAACATGCTGATTGACCAGTTGAATAATCTAGCATCAATCAATACTGATGATCTTGAACTACAGGTTAGTAAGATTTTTTTATAATGTTGAGTGACTGAGGTAAATTATAAATATTTGTTTAATATTATTAATTATATTCTATAACTATTATTATATTATGTTTAGTATTAACAAAACATCCAAATTTCAAAAAATAGTTGTTAAGGATGTCTACAATTTTTTTWAAATTATATTTAAATCAAATTTATTTATTTTATACTGATGAAAAATAACATCATTAAAATAGAATTAAATATATTTGTGAGTCCTTATTATCAAACTAAATTTAAATTGTGATGCATACTTTATATTAATAGATGTATTATCATAAACAGAATATAATATTATCTAATTAATCATAATTAAAGTCATAAGAGATTATTTTTAAATTAACTACTTGAAATATTATATTAAATTCTTTTTCCACATTTTACACAAAACTGTATACAATTATAAATTTACTTTTATTAAATTGTGTTACAATGCATTCATAGAATTTGATATGATATAAATTTAAACAAAGATTTTATTGGTCTATGATTATAATAACAAAATTATTACATCTAATCCATCTTTACTATTAATGAAACACATACATTTTTAAGTTTGACTTCCCATTTAGTATTAATTGTAGTGTAATATAAATAAATAAATGTCAAGTTAGTTTACAATGATATGTAAATAAAAATATTTAGGTTTAGAAATTTCAAAATAATACTAACTAGTTTTTACTTAGGTAAATTTAAATTTTTATTAAAACATTGTGTTAATTATATACTCTTGTGTATGAAAACAATATTTTGTTAAGGATGGTTGATTACACCTACATAGTAACACACCTCTTTTCAATTATTTTTCACTTTTAGTTTTTACTACAAATAATTAAAAATTTTAGAGTATTGTTTCCTTGAATTTATTAAGCAACATATTATTATTTTAAAATACTCAAGGTTTGGCTCTAACCTATCAATTTATCTATTAAAAATGATTAGTCTAAATAAATGTTGCAGGAATATGTGAAGACATTAGAGGCTAGGCCATTGCGCACATTCAGAACTGAATTCAATATATATGATACCATTCTTGAGTTAGTACTTGATACTCTATAGTCTTAGTATGTTTTCATAGTTGTATGATTTAAGTTGTGTTGTTTTTTTTTTGATTTTTTAATTCTAGTGTATCAACAAATGGTATAGATGAAACGATAACGGCAAAAAATATAGATCATCAGTCATCTGTAATGGGTAATCAACATTCTGCACAAACTGTTGAATCTAATGGTGATGCAGATATTCGTTCATTGCGTCGACGTATGGAAGAAGCTACCGGACTTGATGATGATATTATTAATGCTCCGGGAATTATCCATCCCAAGACTGGCGAAATTTTAACTGTAGGCGAAGCAATTCGTTTACGAGTATTAGATGTACGAACTGGTCGTATTGCCACTCAACCAAATTCAAAATCTGGTTGGGTAACTATTGAGAAAGCTGTCGAGAAAGGATTGGTGGACAAGGGTTTAGCAAACAAACTTTTGGGTCCGTGTGTTGTTGGCGATCACGGACCACAAATGACTTTGCTAGAAGCTATTCAAAAGGAGTTAATGGATGCTGAACGAGGACCAGTTGAAAGGATTAAGGTAAAAAATGAAGAACATATTGCTGATTATATTGAGACTCTCAATTCAAGTGAGGTTAGGGGTGAGGTATTTCAAGTGTTAAATAAAAAAGTCACATTAAATGAAAAAGAAATTACTGTACTCGATGCTGTTCATCAAGGAAACTTAGATAAAATTAATTTGGCTGAAGATGAAATACAACTTTTATCAAAAATTAATGGCCTTAAACCAAAAAGTGCATTGAAAGTCGTATTGACTAAAACATTAGACGCTTTAAAAATTAAAGAAGATCCTAAGACTGATTTGCCAACAGAAGGTTGGAGTTTATTTGAAGCAATTAAACAAAATTTATTTGATCCTGAATCTGGTACTTTTATTATACCTGGCACTGACAGGTTAGTATCATTTAAAGAGTGCATTGATATGCGCATTATAAATCCAGATTCAGCTCTAGTAGTTGATCGAACCAAGTCAAAAACATTATCATTAAAACAAGCATTGAGGAAAGATATTTTAGATGCCACTGGCCACTATCAAGGTAGTACAATGAAAGAAGCTATAGAAAATAACTTTGTATATGATCCATCAACAATTGAATATGTTTCCACACCTGTTGAAACTGTCGTAGTAAAAGATGGTAAACGTAAAGTTGAACGGTTTAATAGTATGAGACCTCAATTTTTTGTACAAGAATCAATAACAGAGGAAGAATTAGACGATTTTATACATAATGAGGCTAGAAATGTACCATCTTTTCCGATATCACTACTAGAATCAAGCACCACAGGAATAACCTTGGTAACTTCAATGATGTAGTCTTATGCCATGCATGGTGTATTGTGATTTAAAATTATATAAGTTGTTTTGTCAACAAACCTTTGAATTAATTATTTTTAAAGAGTATAGCTTTTTTTTTAATTTTCTTTTTTTATAGCTTTTGTGTTTGTGTTTTATTTTTCAGGACTACCAGATTATTTTTTAAAGCTATACCAGTTATTTTTTGCCTGTATAATTTGCCTAACAAAATTATTTTTTTGATTTTATTATAACAAATATTTTGATGTTTTTTTTTTTTTTTTTGTAAAGGCTTATTTTAACCAATTTACAAATGAAAACAACAACAACCTAAAACTAAAACTAAAATTCGTTTTTAGATATAATCAGCTTTTAATTTGTATGCATTAAAAATAATATTCAATATGCTGAATTTATAAATGCACTAATTTTTTTTTTTTAATTTTTGCTGTTGTGGCTCTTAGTATTGTTTTCATAACATCTATTTCAATTTATTTTATAGCAAGCCATGGCAGAAAAGTACAAACTGTGCGATGACACACTGTCAGAATACTTAAACTGGATTGGAGAAATTGAAGACAGAATTGCAAATCAAGATATAGCTCAAGAAGGTTTGGATCAACTACGAAATCAAATAAACATTTTAAAAGTATGGATATTTTAAATTTTTGCTCTATATATTTAATATAATACTATGTATAAATATTTTTTAGCTGATTAAAGAAGAAATTGATTCACAATTACGTCCTATTACAACATGTTTGGATCAAGTACGTCATATAATTGCCACAGGCAGTGAATATTTGTCTAGAGAAGAAATAAATAATGTTGAGAAGAAAGGCAAATCGCTGAAATCTCGGTATGACCATGCAAATGAACGTACTGGTAAACTGCTTCGTCGCTTGGTTTCTGCTAAAGATGAGTTATCCAAGTTTAATTCTGAACTTACCACATTTACGACATGGATGGATAGAGCTCAGCGCACTCTTGATGAGAAAGAACGTGCGTTAGCTAATATAAATAGACTTGCTGATACATCGTCAACTGAATCCACAAGGGAGTTTGTATCTGATGTCATTGCACACCAAGCAGATCTCCGCTTTATCACAATGGCAGCACAAAAGTTCATTGACGAGTCTAAAGAATATCTAACCTGTTTAAATGATTTTAGAACTGGTTTACCATCTAGACTTCATCATATTGAACCAGTATCATCACAAGACAGTGTAGTTAAAAATACAGTTATCAATGTCACTAATAATTATAGAGATTTATTAACTCGAGCTAATGCCTTGTCTGATAAATTAAGTGGTCTTAACTCTAAACAGAGAGAATATAAAGATGCCTTGAATGCTGTTAAGGCTTGGCTTCGAGATGCTGAACCGAGAGCTATAAAACTTATCAATGAACCAATTGGTGCCGATCCAAATGCTCTTGAAGATCAATTCAATCGAACAAAAACTTTGAATAATGAATTTTTGGGACAAGCTAGGCTTATTGAAAATGTCAAACAAGCTGCAGATGGTTTAATTAGGTCGCTTGAAGGCCAAAGTGGTATCAAAGAAATTGAGGCCATTCAAGGCCCAGTTAATGAGTTGGAAGATAAATACAGATCTTTATGCAATGGTTTAGCTGACCGACTATCACAATTAGACACTGCATTAGTTCAATCACATGGTGTACAAGATGCTTTAGATTCATTACTTCATTGGTTAAACGATGCTGAAGCCACATTAAAGTAAGTTTTTTCTTATATATTATTTAATAGAACGTTACCATTTATTTATTGTCTCCATCATATAAACGTATGACTTAATGTCAATTTCACTAATTTGAATAGTATAGTGTTAGTTTTATTTAAATATAGATGTTAATAAATATACTATCTCTTTGGTAAGAGTAT